CTTTATACTTACTGATTGATATTACCACTTTCAACCCCCCGCATCTTCTGTTGATATGCCTCCAGCCGCTCCACAAATGGCAACACCAGCCATAAATACCACACCACTAGCTCGCCTACTTCCCGTGGTAAGTACCGGTGGATCACCTTGATATCATTGCTCGCATAAAAGCCCTTGTGGTACTGTGTCACAAACACCACCAGGCCATCTTCCACAAAGATATTGCGATGTCCGCCACTATTGGTATTGTGGTGCCGAATGCTCAATAGCTCCGGAGCCCGGGCTGGCTGGCCACCACTAATATGCACGGCAATGCACAGCTTCTCCCGAAATCGTACCACCCGCTGCAGGTATGAATCAATGGCTCCCATGCGGAATCGGCCAGTCTGGGTCTCGATGAACTGACGCTGGAGCCTGGGTTCTGTACGGACACGGTTCGACAGCCACTGGGAGCCAGCTACCGGCCACTGTGTGCGGGGATCTTGCAAAAAGTTCCATCCATGGCCTCGCTGGGTCGGATCATCGCGGATTTCCTGCCATGGAATTTCTGGCACGGCGGCACCGCCAGCCTTGGAGCCCAACAGTAGCTCCTCATACAGCAGCTGCCGGGTGGTGCTCACCAGCCCATGGATGAAGGCTTTGAAATCACGCACAGTGAAGTTGAGGTCTTTGTACAGCAGCTGATCATGATTCATCCAACCGACGTGGCCCGGAGTGGTCGAATTGTAGTGGACTTTTAGCCCATATGTGCGGAGATCTAAAATCCATTGCATGGGACTGTTGGTGCCGCGGACCATGAATGTATCCATCATTGTGACTAACCATTCGCGGAATGATCGTTGGGGGTGCTGGCGCTGGGCCTGGTGGTTGCGGGCTTCGTGGTCCCAGGCTTGGTCGTTCCGGGCTCGGGAGTTCTGGGCTTGGTGGTTCCGGGCGCTGTAGCTTTGGGCCTGGTGACTCTGGGCTTCGTGGTTCCGGGCTTCGTGGTTCCGGGCTTTGTGGTTCCGGGCTTCGTGGTTCCGGGCTTCGTTGTCCCAGGCCTGGTAGTTCCGGGCTTCATGGTTTC